TTAAGATTATACCAAAAATAACATAAAAAAAGTCTCCATGAACTATTCTTCAATAATATGTGGTCTCTCCTATCTCTTTAGTGCTGTTTTCACATTAACGTAATATTTTTGTTTTTGGTCTTTTGAATAACTTTCAAGCTTTAATCCAGAATAAAAATTTTTTTTTCAGTACGAGCTGTTTTGTGCACTTAAAACTGTTTTTTTTTTTTTTTTTAAATATATTCTCCTGATATTTTCTAAACAAGTAGTCTCAAGAAGGAAGGAAATGAAGCATAAAAAGTCTGTAACGAAGTAAAAAAAAGCACTCTTCCATATTCCCATTAGCTGATAAAAGCAGAAAATTGCAGAGCCATTTAAGCTCTCCGATCGTTATGTTAACAACATCTGTACACAACGTTTAAGACTTTCCTCTGTTAGTGTTTTTTTCTCTTTTTTTGGTTGGGGGGGATGGGAAATGAGCTTCAAAGAGAAAAAACCCTTGGATTCTCCTCCAAGCTTGCAGCCATGTGTAAACTGTCAGAGAAACCCTTGAGCAAAAAATCACTTTAGGTCCAGCATTAACTGACTGCAATTTTCACCAAAACTTTCAAGTACCTGATATGATATCCATCTGGGTTTGAGCTCCCACTTTTGAAAAATTCTTGGAGTAAGTTCCCATATGCAAGTGCTGTAAACAATCTGTTTGTTTAGGTCTAGCCAGGTGAAACTAATCCATGTTCTGCTAGACCCCAAATCTGTTAAGTTGTCAGAAAAATTATCTTCAAACAAGCTGCACACAATCATCAAAAATATCTGCCAGATCGACTGGTTTCTGATCCTTTAGTGGATGAGTGGCCATAAGATCTCCACACCTCTCTCCATGGACGTCTACTACCGGTCCTATCAGATGAATAACTCTGACCATCTGTATGTACTCTAGATGAGGTTCCAGTGTGTTTTTTCTGTGCATTCCTTATTTCTTCTTCAAGATCATATCGTGAGTGCTGCAGAAAGACACATAAGAAACATTTAATTTCTATGGTTCATGATACTTGCACAAAGTTCCCTTAATAAGGTCATATTGTTGGTTTGGCTTTAATGCGTTGATGTTGTGGTTCAGGTGAATAGAATTTAATATTGACCACCGAATAATGAAATGCGTTTTCCATCAAATTGGTATACATCAATCTAAAGAAGCATTGCCACTTCCATCTGTTTCATAACAGGCATTCCCTCGTTTGTTCCCCCATCAGGAAGAATATTCTAAAATATTGTTACTAAAAAAATCCTGCATCTATCAAAATGTGGAATGTTCAGGTTCATATGACCTTATGCATAAGATACCTTGCATTCTTTCACATCTATCAAAATGTGCAATGTTCAGGTTCATATGACCTTATACATAAGATACCTTGCATTCTTTCACATCTATCAAAATGTGGAATGTTCAGATTCATATGACCTTATACATAAGATACCTTGGGTTCTTTCACGTGCCATCGAAATGCAAGGCCAGAAAATGCATATCTATATGCATGCATGTAAAGTACAAAGTACTTGTATGAAAAATGACAACATTGCAGAGGAATAATGATCACCTTGGTAGGGTCTGAAAGTACTGCATACGCCTCTCCAATCACTTTAAACAGTTTGTCAGCTTCCTTGTATGCATCTTCTTTTATCTGCTTCCAGAGCCTATCATCTCCACTCTCACTTCTACCCAAAGATTGAACAGCCTATAAAAGTAGTAAACCATTTAGAAAGATTATTAATTGGAATACATGCGAATTAAGCAGTTGACATATAGAACCTTGTCAGGATGATGTCTAAGGGCAGCTTTCCGATATGCCTTCTTGATTTCAGATGCTGAAACAAATGGTTCAACTCCCCTGCAATTGTAACCACAACAAATAATTTTAAAAGTTAAGTCTTGTAGTTAAATCTTAATTATAGGCTGTTACATGCTTTAGCAACAAAGTGTCTCTTGAAGCAACCTTTTATCCATTCATTCTCCAGAAATAATCAGAAATGGAGAGAAACTTACAAAATGAGATACATATCCAGAGGAACTTCCTTCCTGGCTTCTTCTTCTATTTCAACAAGTTGCACACAAGCTTGTCTTAGATCATTTGCCAATTTCATAGATTTATCAGGCCCTTCTAATTGCTTGGTCTTCTCCTCTGTTTGCTTTGTGAGAAGAGAAATGAGTCTCTGAAAATCATTAGCAGCTTGTCCATAATCCCTAATCATCTCATACAAAGTGGCTCGTCTAGAAATGGCCTGAAAAGTATTACAGTTAAAACAAATATATTATCCAAAGGTTATTGCATTGAGAAATAACTTCTAAACAGGAAAATAGATTTTTTTTTTTTTTAATAAACCAATATATGTTTTCTATAGAAGTGTCATCCAAAATCCATTGTGCATATAAGATCATATTTAGATGCAAGGTCTTGACGATAACATTATTTTAAAGAAAAACCTTGTAATAATTTCCATCTAGTGCTATGGCTAGACTGCAATCGGCAATGGCATCGGTTATTTGTCCCAATGCTTTATATGCAGCAGCACGATTACAGAAACAAATGGCCGCAAAGGGTTGAGACTCCACGTTGCAAGACAATGCAGCAGTGTAGTGTTCAACAGCTTCTCCATATCTTCCTGATTGAAATGCTTCATTTCCAGCAGCCTGTAGAGATGAATAGGAAATTTGAATCATACAAAGAAAAGCTATCCCTACATCTCAAAGCACATTATACTTCAAATAAAGAATCATAGTCAGGTTGAGGAATGAGATGGTGATATTTGTTTGTTTGAGATGAATGCCACCTAGGTAGAGCATTGTTACAGCAAAAATATGCAAGGGCAACTCTGCAAGAAAATATACACCATAGATTCCAAAACAGTCATCAAGACTAAAGATGCTCAAACATTACTAATAACTTGTGATGTGGTGGTGGAGAACATATATCTAACAAGAGAAGCCTTCAAGGATTTGGAAACCAAACCCCATCTCTGTTTAGCTTAAAAGATCAAACACAATGTTATAAAGATACTAATTTTTAAATCCTAGCAAACTTCAGCTTAAAATTATTTAGGCTATGTCAGCTAAACTGTCTTCAAATTCTCAGAAATTATTCATTCTTACATAACAAAGTGTTAATGGATTGAAGTAAATTATTTAGGATTGGAATGCTTTATGTGGGTAGGACAAATTTTCTGCTAAATTAAATGTTCATGTAATGATATATGGTCTCTCCAGTATGTGGGTAGAGGTTTTTTGAGAATACAAACTTCATAGTTCGGAGTTAGAACACAACCACCTTCACACAATTATAGCAACGCTACTTTTATGTCTACAGATACCATGACAATATTGTAGAATATAAGCTTCATACTTTTCCTTTTAGTTTTACTTTTGGACTGAGAACTAAAAATGAGCTGATTAAGAATCAAAATATCTCTCCTACTTGCTTCCAAATTGAGTAACATTGAAAAATGCAATTTAAACAGAACAGAAACTCATCAAAGTTGATAGAACCAGCTCTATCCCACTACACTAGAACATTTAAAATTTCAGAGTCCATTGCTGTTGTTCCCTTGTCTCTTCTATAAATCAGATTTTCAAGTAAAATTTTGGTAGAGCAGAATTGAGCTATAAGAATGCTGAAAATTTATTTCTACTGTAACCCTAGTTAAGGATGGCATGCCTTTATAGAATAAAGCACCATGAACATTAATCAAAATCCAATTTATCTTGAAGCAAAGCATGGATAATAGAAATACCTTATGTTGTAAGAGCTCACGCACTGTAGCAACTAAATGTATTGATGATTCTAGACTGTTGCTTCCATTCCTGGATAGGCTCAAACATACATAAATGATTATGCTCAGTAAAACCAAGGATTTGTACAACAAAGGGCTATGGTTACCTTTCTGTAACAGACTGCAGTTCCTCTTGCTTCTCCAGATAAGCGATAGCATCTTCCAGCCTTCCTAGCTGAAAGTAAGATTTGAAGATCAGGCAACAACGCCAAATTCTAAAGGTAGAGTCCTTTGAGAATCCAGAACCATCCTGATTTGCTAGCTGTCCATCTAATGAAGGAGAATTCTTTTCAGCAGAATCATATGTCTGCTCACACAGCTGGATAACCTCTTCATATTTGTGCAGCTGTTAGATGGCATAAAAGTTACTATAATTCTGGCAATCTTTTAAAGATTTCAAAAATGCTTAAATAAAAAGTGCATAGTTGACTTCTATAGCTTTCTAGTATGAATGAAGAACGTTAACAAACCACGAAAAGAGCTTTTGCTTTCATTTCAAATAACTTTTCAGAATACGAGCTTATCTGCAATGCCTCAGCAATAAGTTCCAAGGCACTCTCTGCATCATCGGATGTTCTCCTCTGCAACAGTTCATCAGAGTGACGCATGCAGTTAGAAACTCTCTGCCAGAGAAGAAAGCCACAGTCAGTGACACACTATCATTGATCAAATCTCTGTGGTCAAGGTAACCAAAAATCCACAATATCAAAACTTCTAAAATTTATCAATGTTAACCCAAAAATAAAAGAAAATAAAGTGGGTAAATAATAGATGCCATTAGGCTTGTCAAACTAAAATGTCAAATGACAATGGAAGGTAGAAATGAATATCAACATCTTCTGCACTTCATGTGTAAAACTTTAAAAGGTTGACATGTCAATGATGTCATCCTTCTTAATCACATGAACTTTCCAACATGCAAACACTAAAATGAATAATAACAACAGAGAATTCTGGAAGTGTATTTTCATCAAGATTTTATACTTTTCTTTATTATGACAATATAGCTCCAATAAAATACCAAACCAAACCATTTTAGGGATCAACTTTAATTAAAGAGAGTTCTATCATGGATGAAATATGTGGCAAATTATTTTAGATGCATCATCAATTCCTCAAGCATTGGTTCATTCTATGAAGAATCTGCCCAGCCGCTTCTATTATGCCATCTCTACCTATGTGATACTTTGTTAAGGACTTAAAGTGATCAATAATAATGATATCCAAAATACTGAATCTCCAAAAGGAATCTTGCTTATGGCAACCACTCTGATACCTTCAGTGCACAAGTCAAACTTTTACTTCAAAAACGATAAACTGCTCATATTTATGAGCTTAGCTGAGGACTAAAAGCATTCACATGTGTCTCATTTAATTTTCAGGAGTCTTTATGGACCTAGTGAATATGTGCAAATACTAAGCCAATAAAAGGTAATACAAACCTCTGCAGGACAACTTGACTAAAACAATAATAATAAGATCACAGATCCCTCAAAACTAATGATATTACGTACCTGCACCTTCTGTAGGCTCTCAGAGGCTTCCACTGCAATTTTTCGGTCCACACAGACATCACTGCCAGATTGTAAGCACCTTCTGAAATATCTAGATGCATCTTCAACTTCCCCAAGGGCAAGACAACAGCTTTTTTTTTTTTTTTTGAAAAGAAAAAAGTTAGAAGATATAACACCAAATGAATAACAAACAAAATACATGTTGTGCCTAACCAGCATTGCATGCTCCAAATACGAGCAATTGACATATATTTATCAAGCCATACACATCAAATTAAAGATAAGAAAAATAAAAGCAGAGCCTTACTTTGCAGCTCGAATTTGAACCTTGATGAAGTTAGGGTCAATTGCAGCAGCCATCATACAGTCTCCTAGTGCATCTCTAATTCTCCCAAGGGACATACGTGTAGCTGCTCGGTTGCTATAGCACAGCATCAATGCCCGGAGGCAGCTCCTAGATGTCTCACTTTTAGGGACACAATTCACACCTTGTGTGTAACAATCCTCAGCTTTGGATAAATCACCATTTGTATAAGCCTGGTTTCCCCTGATACAGTGATATGTGTCACTTCCTTACTAAAGAAATCAAGAACAAACTTCAAGCAAGAATAAAGAAAAAATAAATAGTCACATCATCTACTTACTAAAGAAACCAAATATCATATATCAGGATAAATAAGAGGGTAGTATTCTAGTTTGACTTTTAGCAGAGTATTAGAAGAAGTTGCTAAATCACTACCTTGATCGCCATTTCTCACACGCTTCCTGAGCTGTAACAGCTGCAGCAGAAGTCAAGTCAGGCTCATGCTTGATCTCTTGTCCTTTATTCACCACAGAATTATCTCCAGCTTTGCTGTGAGAAACATATACATATTCTTTCTGGTTCTGCATGGAGGGTAAAAACACTGAAGCTCCAGAGTATGAAGAAAGTTGTACAGAGGGTGATGCATATGGAATTCTAACATTTGGACTGGATTTATTAGAATCATGAGCAATTTTAGCCGAATTCTTCTTTTTCTGATGACGTCGTGACGCTGATATCTGATGATGTCGTGATGCTGATAGCTGACCTTGAGAAGCAGAAGATGTAGCAAATGAGAAGTCCAGCCCACTTTTATTTTCAGAACTAGAAGAGAAAATGAATTGCATTTTGGCATCACTATTTTGCCCCCCAATGTTTGAGCTTGAACTGGCCTCGGTTTCGGCTGAATTTATAGCACTATCAGGGTTAAAGTCTATCTCCTCATTTGCAGATTTAAAGCTTTCAGTCTCAGCCCCAGAAACAGAGTCCTCTGGAAGACCTTCAGTACCAGCACCTTTATCTAAAACATCTCCAGAACCTTCATCATTAGTTTCCCTACATTTGACCTCCCCATCATTTATATCCATACGTTGTGTTGCAGCAACCAAATCTTCATCTATTGTGTCAGAAGGAACTTCTGCCTGTGTGTCCGTGGATGCATAGTTGTCGTCAAGACTGAATGACTTATCTGATGCTATGGAAGTTTCTCTTGAACATCCAGTATCAGCTAATGTTTCCTGATATGGTGAAACATCCATTGGTTGATAAGATTCAGAAACCTCTGAATCTTCTTGCTTACAGCTTGAAACAGAATCTTGTGTGACCCACGGTTGAATTGGCACAGATTGCCTTGACTTTCCCCTCCTTTTCTTAACTTTTGCGCTTGTCCCAGCTTCTCTTTTTGCACTTAATTCCAGCTTCTTACTTAAGCCAGAGAATGGGCTTGCCTTTGGGCCTGGAGTTTTGAATTCCATAAATGATGGTGCCTTGTCATCTTCATTGGTTGTAAAACTGAAATCAACCTTCCTTTCAGGATCAGCAGCATAAGTCATGCCAAAAACGTTTGAATCTGCCTGGGAGTGCATGCCACCAGATGAAAATGAAGATGTTGACCCACCAGATCCACTTGGTTTGGTTTCATCTTTTGGTTGGCCTGTGGGATTTGGCACTTGACTTCCACCAGTATTGTTACCCTGAGGGGCCACCTGAAAAGTAAATTCCGTGGAAACTGATTTACTGAACTCATTGGACATTTTAGCATCAAAATGCTCAGTTTGGATATCTTTTTCAAAGACTCGAGAAGAAGATAATCCAATATCTGCTCGACCAGAAGAATCTCCCATTCCACTTCCAATATTCAACTTCCTCCCCACCTCATTGGACAATATATTTTCTTGTTCCCCAGCAAGATAACCCGTGCTTTTACTGCCCCCAAAGACAAAACCACCTTTATGATTGGTCTTCAGACTTTTGACTTCACTCTTACCAGGAATATTAGCATTGTCAGCTTCTTTTACGTTCAAGTTCTTCATTTGTTCGGGAAGTGCATGTGTGGAGCTTCCAGCAAAAGAACGAATGCCCTTTTCACTATCCTTAAATACAGAATTCTTACCATCATCAGCATCAGGTATGACACTGCTGCCATCAACCCCCTCAGTGCTTCTAATATTCAACTTATTCATCAAATCAATAGGAAGTTCATTATCCAAACACTTCCCAATGGAACAGTCCACACAATGATCATTCTCATTCCCAAACATCCCCACATTACTCTCCTTAAGTGTATCACTCTGAGAACTATCAATGTTCAATTTCCTCATATCCTCTGGAAGTTTAGAAAGTATCCCTTCTTCAAAACTAGAACTTTTCTTAAAACTACCCAGGCACTCATTGCTGGTGTTTATTCTCAAACTGCTCATTCCCTCCACAACTCCTCTCCCTAAATGCCCACTTGAAGCTGATCTCTGGGGATTCGAATTTGCACCCAAACCAGCGCTACTTGTTGGAAACACAAATGGCTCATTACCACCCTTTCCAAATTCAAATTCACAAGAAATGGAGCCACAACCTCCCAAAGCGGAATAATTTGCAGCTGAATTCCCAACAGCAGGTCGAAATGGGTTGACACCCGGGTCTTCACGGGATACTGGATTCCTATTGGATTCAAATTTCTCGCAATTGGATTGCTTTCTGATCTTCACAAGCCTAGGCCTAACCTGAGCCGAAGATCGCGAGACGGACGAAGCATTAATGCCCCAATTTGGGTTCATTTGGTTTGAATATGAAAACCCAAAATTAAAATCCCCTCCTGAACCGAAGTTGGATGATGGATTCATCTTCTCCTTCGGTAGATTAGATTCAGAAACTAACTGAGACCCAAAAAAACTGAATGAGGGATAAAAAGAAACCTGACCGCTGGGACCTCCGGGGTCTAGTAACGCCGGCGACATCTGCAGGTGCGACTCATGAAATCAGGCTGCTGAAAATCCAACCGAACGATGAATCAAAACGATTCCTTTTTTTTATGGTATTGAATGCAGAATCCGAAATAAGAATGCTGGATGAGTATGGGATTCGATTTACAGAGAGATTTAGGAATGCTAGTACAGAAAAAGAATCATCAAACAGTTTGGGGTTTTCTTTTTCTCTGTTTCATGTGCTTTGTTTCTTTGATCCTCAATATGGTGCGGTTTCCAAACGTTGCTTTTCATTCCCTTTCCCTTTCTTTCTTTTTCTTTTTCTTTTTTTTTTTTAGTGTAATAAATATATATTTAGAAAAAACAAAAAATTAACTTTTAAATTTATATTTTATGGTCTGTAGAACTAAATTTATTACAAAAATACTTAAATTAATATTATTTTTTTATATTTTTTTATATTTATTTAAAACAAAAAAGTGTTTGTTAAAACATAGATTAGGAAGACTTTTTTTTTCTGTTTCCATTTTCTATTTATCTTTTCAGTTTTTTTTTTTTCAATTCTTTTTCACTTTTGATTGCCTGAAAATAAATTGGACTTCCTTCCAAATTAAGTATAAACAAACAGATTTTATGGTGGAATTTGCTTTGGTATTAAAAAAAAAAGGGGTTTTTCTTCTTACAATAGAGTTACTTTCAAAACAGCACAAGCGAGTACAAATAAAAAAAAAAAAAGATTAAGAAAATCATTTAGACATTATTTTCAAAATATAATCTTACATGGACTAATTGATTTACTATTATGATGATTTGATGTTGAAGAAAACATTGTGTCAATTACTTTAAAAAAATTAATAAGTAGATATTACCTCGAACTAAATATGCTCTAGATAATTATTAAAAATAAATGTATCATAATAAGAGAAACTACATTTTCTTAACACAATCAAAAGGTTTGTTCAGGGTAACCCATCTCTTTAAAATCACGAATCCTTTGCATTGGATTGGAACATGTATTTTATTAAACCAAACGTTGGCGTGGGAGTGATTTCCTTCCATGAAGACGCATGGAAAGATGAGTCTTGAAATGTACTCCAAAAATAACCTGCACTCAACTGTGTCAACAGGAAAACACGGTTAGTCCATAATAATATAACATCAAACTTATGTGCATAGACATGTCCAACTTAGAATATATTTGTTGAAATTTGTAAGTGTTTTAATTTTTTTATATTATTTATATTTTATAAGTTAAAATTTTTTTTAAAATTTATATTTCTAAATTTTTTTTAACTTTAAAAAAACTTAAACAATAAATTTGGAAAAATTTTAAATTTTTACTTTTTATAAATTTTTTTATTCACTTTTTACTTATTTTTTATTATTTTTAAAAGCAATTTTTAAATTTGTACTACAATAAAAATTTAAACTTATGACTCATTAACAGTACTAAAAAAAGTATAAGTTTCAAGAAACTCCACCGAGCAGACCTTAAAGGAATAATATATGATAAGATCTTATGAGGTTCAAAAACATAATCCCTTTTGTTCCAGAATTGGACCACTGGTGAAAGAATCAAATGAGATCCACTTGGTCTTGGTTGCCCAAAAGGAATAACAAAACACGTCCAAAGAGATGGGAAAATGTCAAGAGATGAAAAGAGAGAGGCAAATTTTAACCTAAAAAAGGCTATGAAGGAAAGGATTATATGAAGGGTTGAGGTTTCAATCCACATGCAATGTGGGTTTGAAGGCAATGTCTTGATAGTGTTACGAGTGCAGAGACAATGGGTTACTGTGCAGCAATGGAGATGAAATGTTGAAGTGGAATGGGATTTTATCTCATTTAGGCTTGTTAGGCTTTTCAATCTCATTGTGATTTAGCATTAAAATTTATCGAAGTTTAAAATGAAATAGTTATTTCTCAAAACTCTCTTTTTCCTTTTACCCTTTGTTGTGATTCTAAAACAATTTAAACAATTGTTATTATAAATTTTGATATTGATTTTTTTTTTTTTTTGCCAAATTAAATCATGAAAGTGATTTGCTAATTAGTAGAAATATGAAATTTAGATACTCCAGCATTAGTTTTGAATGAACATGTAAAATAGCACTTTCTTTATGCATCAAGATGTGTATGAAATGCTCATAAAGTGCTTCCATGCATATAATTCACTACCCCATATACTCTTTTCATCACCATTATCCTAATTAAACCACGTTACTCATTTCCAAGTAGATAGCTTTAGAAACACTTAGCATATAACACTAAGTTAACTCCAGTGATCAGCATAAACTCTTTCAACCACCTTCTGATTTTAAGCAACTTTCAGATGTTCTCCTATTAATCCTTCCCCCAGCAACTTCATTTCAGCACTCCAAATATCCATGAGGCCGACTGACACTAGATACCCTTTCATTGTAAGAGAACTAGTTATGAAAAAGTGACTATCCATACTAGCCCAAAGATCAAAGATACAAGCCCTCAAAATCTACTGTGTATGGACTAGATCTTCCAACACTTTGTTGCTATACTAAAGAACAAGTTGGAATGTGAGATATCCAAAGTAGTTCTAAAATTTCAGGATATACAATCTCTCAACATGTCTTCTAAGGTTTCAATGGTATACTTGGACATAGAAACTTTCCCCTGCCAATTTCAAATAAAAAACAAACTGCCCTAAAATCCAAGATAATCGTGAGATATCATTATAGGTCTTAGGGGCAAACTATGATTTTTCCATCCACCTAGGAAGTGAAAGGTTGAACCATGATTATAAACGGAGATTTATAGAAACTGCATAGAAAGAGAATTAATCTCAATCAGATTTAGAAGAAAACTGAACTACACTACCCTCATCAACATAACATTCACATGTTCTTCTACTTAAGTGAAAAGGAAGTAGCTAAAGTATTCCTATGAGTCTATGATATGCATAGCCTTAACTCACTCGGACATCAATACCCAACAAGAAAGCTTGTAAGCTATCATCTACAACAATGCTTGTAAACTCTCTGTTAATCCATCATCTAACTTTGGTCTCACATCAATTATAACATAACAACAATCCACTACCATAAATAAAACTAAACTTGGATAAAAGACTATCTTACTGTTCCTCCCGTGAACAATTTTTTGTGGGTTTGATTTTGAACTACTGTTTTTGGTTTCATCTTCTGTAATAGACCTTGTAAAACCTAAGGCAGAGCAATTGAACATCATATTTAATTTTGTAAGTTTAGACTCAAGCTGGGGCCTCAAGGAAAAAGACAGACCAATATTATATGCTAAACCAAATTTTAGCACCAATGCTCCATACCTATGACTTAACCATGCACTACTTAAGTATTGGGACTACCATAACACCACTTTCCAAGTCTGCATCAAATCATAACTAAAACCCTCGGAGAAGTTCCATTTTGAATTTAAACCTTCCCCATGAGCAGGGATATCAATACAAAGTTGTAGTCAAAATCCCCTTCAACATCTAAAGCCTCTCCTTAAACTCATCTACCCACTGAAACTTTGCTGTCTTATGTACATGGTGAGTCATGGCAATCAATGAGTATCTCTCAATAAACATTCTATAAATTTTTCTATAATACAAGACTTAGAAAACTTCTAATCCAAATAGCATTCTTCTGTCTCTCTTGATCAAATAATGCCTTCATCATCAAAGGATCTACATAGTTAACCTTCCAAGATGTCACATGTACTAGAATCTACCTCATCTAACTGCAGCATATATTTACTCAGCTTGGCACGTAACTATTTTTCCTTTCTATGAAATTAGTCAAAATAGGCCCATGATGAACTATATACATGATTTCTACCCTAAGGAAGCACTTTCAAGCTTCAGCATGGCATGATATTGAGCATTTCATACACAAAAATGATGCATGAAGAACTTGATATTAACAGGCAAATGCAAAAGTATAGTTGGAGAATCAAAATCTCAAATTTCTACCTATTAAGGTAACCACAGTCAAGATGTAATCAGACAAGAATTTTACAACATCAAAACTTTTAACAATGATTCAATTATTTTAGAATTTAAGAAATGGGAAAAAGATGAAAGCAAAAGACTGTCAAGGAATAACTTTTTCAATCAAACTTTGACAAATTTTAAATTTAAATAAAAATGAAATTCTATGCCCAAAGGGCCAAAATGAGATAGACACCCTCCCCACTTCATCTTCTTTCCCCACAGACGCACACATATTCCACATTATCTTCCTGCTTCTCCCCACACTATAAAGACACACATACACCCTTTTATGCATGTGTTTTACACCTCATCTCCATTCCAATCCTTCACTTGCATTTTTTAGTCTTCAATTTGCCACTCTTGTTTCCTCCTTTATTTTTTCATCTCTTTAGACACGTTTTATTGTCCTCTTTGTGAAACTATGACTACTTGGACTCAATAAAATTCTTCTACAAATGAAACCCCATTTAGGAACAAAAGGTGATTTTCTTTGAATCTTAATAAAATCTCAAATTCATCTCTCTTGGACATAAGCAGTATAAGTACTTTGACATGATTTTATTGGTGTTAAGTTATTTTGTGAAAATTTTGAACAATAGCATGTTTTAAAAGCTTTCCTGAAGAACAAAATAAATCCTGTCAATTAAGCATTGAAACAACTCCAGAATCCAGTAGCATCGGGTCACATATGTGACAAATGAGTTAATAAATCTAAAATGAGGTTTGAATGGAAACAAGTTTATATTTGGATAGCTTTATAGGGTCTAAAATAATACATCTCAGTGTGATCAAACCAGCCCTACCATTACCCACGAGCTCTTGCTCAAAGTGCCCATTTTCTGAACAAAAAGCTTAATAAAAAAATACAATGGTAACACAGAGCAGTAGGTATATATTTGAGAAAAAATTCGCTGTCTTTACTTTGGAAATTACTTAAAACTAAAATCAAATGCAAATGGCTCAAAAATTGCATTTTAAAAATATAGGATTTTATCTATATCATTATAAAGCCCCAATTTGTAACATGCACATTAAATGTCACTAGAAAACCCTTAAGAGTACAAAAAACTTATACAGAGCCATTCAATATGACACACACTTTAAACAAGGAAAGCAGAGCAATGCTTGCAACTAAAAGGATACCATTAAATTTCCTCACATAGGGGTAAGGGAAGCAAAACCGTAAGAAAATATTTGTACATTTAAAATGAGAAAAAAAAAAAAAGGGGGGAGTAAAACTACTGAATTCAGAAAATTTATTAACAG